ATTACACGTGTTTTTCCAATCCGGAAACGGAGTCCATATACTTTTCTTATCAATATTATTAGAGGCATGAATTTTTGTAGTTGCCATGCATTAGACATGTTTTTAACTGTGTGAGTGGGAGGTGCTACTTTATGTCCTCACGGAGTTCTAGTGATCCATTGACATAAGTTTCAATGCCGTTTTGGCTTTCACGCCCGTTGCAATCTGTTTTGACAGGTTATTCTCAGGCGACATTACCAAAATGGAATTGTTCATGACATTGTTATTAAGGCAGTTACTAGCACAGGACTTGCGCTAGGGCTTCAATGGGTCAAAATTTTTGGCGGGCGTGAAACTCGACTGTTACTCCAGTGCCCGACAAGAACACAGTTCATGCTAAGCCATCATATGGATGAGCATTTCGTCACGTAACTTACCGTTTGTCTTGAATAGCAGCAAGGAAATCTGTATAAATACACCAACTATTAGACCTTACAATTAGTCGTAAAAGGCAACCATGCTTGTCGTAAGAAGCGGCTAACGGCATCAGGCGGTCAGGCTCGCTGACTTGATTGATGCATGTCATCGTATCCCAATTGCGTAGATCGATGGTCATAAAGTCAATCACTTGATTGTCTGGTCCAGACTCGATTATGTACAGACCGCCGACATGGAGCTGGATGATTGCTTCGTACGGCGTTTAACAAAAAAACACTATCACTTCGTTTTGTGACAAATAATCCCATGGATTAAAGCATAAAGTTTTTCCTTTACTTCGTCGTGTGTGATTGTGGTGTATTGCGTGGAAAATCAAATGTTTTGAAATGATTGAACTGGGTTTTTCCTGAGATTGCGAAAGGTTTTTAATAATTCCACATGGCATTATTTCCACTTGTCTCAGTAGTGAGTATACAGATTGTCTAAGGATTATGGTCAATCTTTGAGACGGGGATTTCATGGTACATTTGCTGGACGTGGCAATACATCTCTCTTTGTACGCTTTTTATTTAAGAGTAGCTTTGGAATAGTTGCTAGTTCTGATTTGTTCCTCGGTTTACATAACGGCCACATATGACTGTGGCATTATTTGACATTTCACTCATAGAAAGTTCTTTGATCAAAGAATTATTGTGGTGGTGCTTACCATCGGGTTCCCAGTAAAGCATTCAAAACATTTTATGGTCCATATTCCCTTGATTGAATTGTATCACTTGTTCCCGTGTTTTAAGGTGAACACTTGGCTTGCCTTTGCATGTGTTTGTAACGGATGCCACTGGTGGGGCAGGTTACGCTCACCGTTCCGCGAACACCTGGATATCATCCCTATTTAACAGTGATTCCTAAGCACATGTTTATGAAATAGTCGCAATCGTAAAATGGACTCTGGTTTTAGCAGAGATTTCGTATGAATATGGAACAGGTTTTGCCGTTGTTTTTTACAAGAGTTCAGTACGTTGATTCGATAAATCCGTTTCATTACCAGTGAGAACTTTTAACAGTCCACTTAGCTGATGTCGAGATTGTAAAATACCCAAGAATCAATATTAGAGAATCGAAAACCAGCGCAATTAACGTGTCCATCGATGCGATAATTCACAGACACACAAGGGGTACATTAAGCGAGTGAGACAAATAAATACAATGTATTTTACACGAGATACATAAGGGTTGTATTTGTATGCCCATAACATTTGACGCTATTCCGATTGCAGGGCATTACGATGGAATACACACATTTGAAGGATATACGATTGTGTTTTAGATCGTTTAATATCCTGCTACCGAAATATTTGAAGGATACACGATTGTGTTTTATATCGTTTAGTATCCTGCTAGCGAGATATTTGAAGGATACACGATTGTGTTTTATATCGTTAATATCCTGCTCCCGAGATATTTGAAGGATACACGATTGTGTTTTATATCGTTAATATCCTGCTCCCGAGATATTTGAAGGATACACGATTGTGTTTTATATCGTTAATATCCTGCTCCCGAGATATTTGAAGGATACACGATTGTGTTTTATATCGTTAATATCCTGGTACCGAGATATTTGAAGGATACACGATTGTGTTTTATATCGTTAATATCCTGGTACCGAGATATTTGAAGGATACACGATTGTGTTTTATATCGTTAATATCCTGGTACCGAGATATTTGAAGGATACACGATTGTGTTTTATATCGTTAATATCCTGGTACCGAGATATTTGAAGGATACACGATTGTTTTTATATCGTTAATATCCTGCTCCCGAGATATTTGAAGGATACACGATTGTGTTTCATATCGTTAATATCCTGCTCCCGAGATATTTGAAGGATACACGATTGTGTTTTATATCGTTAATATCCTGCTCCCGAGATATTTGAAGGATACACGATTGTGTTTTATATCGTTAATATCCTGCTCCCGAGATATTTGAAGGATACACGATTGTGTTTTATATCGTTAATATCCTGCTACCGAGATATTTGAAGGATACACGATTGTGTTTTATATCGTTAATATCCTGATTCCGGAATTTTAGCAGGATTTTATCGATAGACTACACAATTGTAGCCAGTAAAATACACTCTGGGTTTATACACGGCCTCTGCACAGTGTCTAAATGGCGAAGCCTATGCAACAATAATTCATTTGAGTCGTCGAATGTCGAGAACAAACTCAGTCGTTAAAGTGAACACCATCTTTGCTGTTCAACAATAGTTTCTGACAGATGGTTTCTATTCATTTTTATTTGACTTCTTTTCTCGTTAATAATATTGAAAACAATGATTTACTATTTTAAAACCTGCATTTAAATCTATTCTTAGAAAGATGGTCACAGAAGCACTAATGTGCATTGCCTGGTCTATTGCCCAAAGTTGTCTGTGCATGAACTGCGGGGAACACCAACAATGGGCTTAACACGGTGTACCCATGTGGGAACTCGAACCCGGGCATTAGGCGCGACCAGCGAACGCTTTAACCACAAGGTATGTGTAAGTATTTCAATATCGACCGCTTTCATTATTCTGATTGTTTTATCACGTTCTCTTGGAGGACGGTATGAGAATGTAAACAGTTTCCACGTCCACCTTACACTGTAACATGAAGAGACAAACATTTGGTTTTAATAAATGTGCTAAATAAACTTACCGAAAACTGTAACACTGTGAAACATGTTCATACAAATAACGTGTAACATTCGTTTCTACCAAATACTGGTATATTTATGATGCCCAAAGCGAGGCAGATGCTTAATCAAATCAAATTGAAACATGTCTTACTCATGTGTAGAGAATGTTTTTCTGTGTATAAATATTATTTCCATTGGGCGTAAAAGGCAATGTGGTGAAAATGATATGAATGGCCAAGGATGACTTAAAATAAGTGATGACACTGGGTGTTCGCTAATATTTCTTTTGTTTTTTGTTTGTTGTTTAACGCCGCATTCAGCAATATGCCAGCTATATGACGGCGGTCTGTAAAATAATCGAGCCTGGACCAGACAATCCAGTGATAGACATCATGAGCATCGATCCACGCAACTGAGATCGATGACATGCATCAACCAAGTCAGCGAGCCTGACAATCCGATCCCGTTAGTCGCCTCTTACGACAAGCATAGTCGCCTTTTACGGCAAGCATAGGTTGCTGAAGACCTATTCTACCATGGATGACTGATTTTTTGAAAGGATGATGTTTACATTTGACGCCAAAGACGACGGACGAGGGAAAAGCAAGCTATTACATATGCACTAAAATCAAGTAGCGTACTTCTGACAAGAACTATTTACACATCAGAAAGGTGGTGTCGATGGTCACACATATGTAAACGACAATTAGAATGGCCATTTGTTCATATTGTGGGACCCGTGAAGATTCCAGGGTAGAATAGGTCTTCAGCAACCCATGCTTGCCGTAAAAGGTGACTATGCTTGTCGTAAAAGGCGACTAACGGGATCGGGTGGTCAGGCTCGCCGACTTGGTTAATGCATGTCATCGATCCCAATTGCGTGGATCGATGCTCATGATATCAATCACCATTGTTGAGAATGGGTGATGGGGCAGCTTACTTGTTAAAGCGTTCGCTCGTCACACCAAAGGCCTGGGTTCGACAAGGACTATGTAGCTATTGCTATCACACACACTTCAGGATCCACGCGGCCAACACATGGCATATTCTTATTCATTGAAAGCAGATGGAAGTTTTATTCCATACGCGTTTTGTTAAGTGAGTGAGTGAGTATGATTTTACGCCGCCTTTAGCAATATTCCAGCAATATCACGGCGGGGGACACCATAAATTGGCTTCACACATTGTTCCCATGTCGGGAATCGAACCCGGGTCTGCGGCGTGACGAGCGAACGCTTTAACCACTAGGCTACCCGACCGCCCGTTTTGTTAAGTGGAACTGACAGCTAATGTACTGCTAATCTAAGCCTCTACTTTTACAACCACTCCGACTCTAATACATAGATGACATGTTTACCAATCCAGATTCATTTTTTTGAAAACAATATCTTTAAATCAAAGAACTTTAAGTTTAACGCTGCTTTGATTAACGCCGTGTCAGCTTATTGTAAGAAGAACGGGCGAAGTGATGCATGTCTAAGAAAATTACCAGTGTGGTGAAACCGACGATGCTGACAAATCAATATGTACCATTAAGGCGACTCTGACATAAGAACCCGCGATCATAGGATTCTTGCACGCCGACAATACACTAGGCCACTCTGACAAAAAAGTCGATGTTTCAACATTCATCACTTCGCTTGTCACGTAAGATTATGCCGTTTATTGATTGGAAATAAATGTACTGTGCGCATTTGTTGTCATGTTTCTTGGTATCCAATCTTCTTGATAACAACACAGTAGGCGTGTCTCTCCTAAGTACGTATTCCCCAGATAGGTAACTATACCTCCCATGCTTCACTGGATTGGCGTATCAAAATCCCAGCCCACGAGTCCTTCACACAAAACTGCATCCATGCACTTTAAAACATAACTTGTTTGGAGAAACTGATCATATGAATCTGGTAATATCGATCGCCTATCGTTGCCGTTTGACACGGAATCTTCTATTCAGTTTCTGTGGCCTAAGTCCGGTCAAGCGTGTGTGATCGGTGGGGCATATTTACACTAAAATGATGAAGAGGCATCCGATTAAAAGCTTCATGCAAATCTCAACGTTTATCATGTTTAAGTATTTGGTTTATGTATGCTGTCAAAACAGGGAACGCCAGTATAATGAAGCATTATTCAAGCTGGCTGATTCGAGCAACAGTTTCTCGTCTGAGGACATCCTTTATGTACGTAACACATCAGAATCTCTCCTTTGTGTCACCCATTGCCTTCAACACGCCCGATGTGTCGGGGTGAGGTTTGCCCCTAGCACCGGTCAGTGTTACATGTACGCGGCCTACCAGACACAGACAACCACGGGGACCGGAACGACTGGGGACAAATACTACATTATGGAAGGTGAGTTCCAATAACTTACCAATAACTTTATGACCCGTGAAGATTCCGGGGTAGAATAGGTCTCCAGCAACCCATGCTTGCCGTAAAAGGTGACTGCTTGTCGCAAAAGGCGACTAACGGGATCGGGTGGTCAGGCTTGCTGACTTGGTTGATGCATGTCATCGATCCCAATTGCGTGGTTGGATGCTCATGATATTAATCACTGGATTGTCTGGTCCAGACTCGATTATTTACAGACCGCCGTCATATAGCTGGAATATTGCTGAGTGCGGCGTTAAACAACAAACCAAACCAAAATCCAATAACTTAATAAGAACGTACAAGACAAGATACAAGAGTTATTAAAATCGACGATGTTATAGTGGTATTTATATTCGTATCTCTATCACATTAATGAATAGATGATTTTTACAAAAGTTTAAATGAACTAGCAACAACCATAACAAACCAAAGTAAAGAACACTGCTGCAAGCGAACACTGTCGATCTTACATCTTAGTATTCGACTTGTATTCGGTTGTAATTAGTATTCGATTTGAGATCTGCTTTAACGTGTTAAAGCATCTCCCAATTAATTTCATCGATGTAAAATGCAAAAGAAACAAGAAATAGAAACACGTAAAACTGACCACATTATCCTATAGTTTTGTTTATGAAAACGAAGTAACAATAGAGGTAATCTGGACCTCGGTAAATGCACGATGTATTGTCTATAATTATATACAGTATATTCCTGATCTTAAACTATTTATTATGTATTTATCTAACTAATCATTTGATAACAAAATAAGTACACGCGTAACTTATACAAATCTAATCCTAACAGGTAAATATTCCATTCGTACTATAGCCAGTTCATACTTGGAGATACCTTTTCTCTTGTTCTGCCAGGAGGATGCGGTTCACTCAATCCCTCTCAGTCCTTTGTCTATTGGAGAGAAGGTGGGCTTGCTGCAAAAGCCGTGTGCAACGGTACACAAGCTTTCCTGGGTATCAATACCACTGTTTGGTGCATTCCAACATCCCCTACATGGACACCAGCGCCTGGAAAGTGTGTTAGCAGAGTAAGTTGTTTTAATTCATCTTTCTGATACTGTGTGTGTCGTTCTTGTCATGTGCATCTGTTCAAAGTAAGGATAAGATACATGGATGAACAACTTCTTAAGTGCAGTTAGGAGCGACGTTTAAGTGTAGGTTCTAATACCCCCATTCCACTAGGCGGCGATCCACGGTGATCCAATAGCGATCCAATAGCGATCTATGTGATCCGATAGCGACTTGTTGGCGCTTGATCGCCACCCAACCACCCCAAAATGTGGCGATCGTGCACGATCAGTTCCCGCTCCATTCGCAATCCGATGTGACTAGGATGCGCTCCAATGGCGCTCTATTGGCGATCCGATGGCGATCATTGTGATCTATGGCGCTCTTCTCTGATCCGATAGCGATCAAGTGCGATCTATGAAGATCCGTTAGAGCTCAAGTAGCGCTCTAGGCGATCCGATTGTGACCTGATCGCCGCAAAGGGGCCCGATCCTATAAAAACCTGTGGCGTTCAGCCGTGCTCTTCAGTGAAACCATAGAGATGCTGCCATATTACAAGTGATTTACAATCTCGTGAACCATGCCATCGTGAACCAGCAGATTGCTATTCTGGCCCAGCAGCCTCGAAGAAGAAGGAGAAGGAAGGCTTTTTGGGTGAGACCCTGAAGCGCCATTGGAGCGCCACAGAGCGCCACAGGGTGGTGCTCCAAATCGTGAACCAAACAGTGAAGCACAATCAGAGCGCCATCGGAGCGCAATCGGAGCGCCAATGCATCTCCGAGGAGCGCCATCAGATCGCCATGGAGCGCCGAAGATCGGTAGGCCAGCTTTTGTGGCGATCGGCGGCGCTCTATGGTGATCCGATAGCGCTCCGATTGCGACCTTGGCGATCAAGTAGCGCTCCGATGGCGATCTAGGCAATCAATTAGCGATCTGATGGCGCTCTGGGCGGAGCGCCACGGATCTAGGTGCAGGGGAGTCAACCGGCGGCGACCTTGGCGATTATGGAGATCGGTTAGCGATCTGTTAGCGATCCGTTAGCGCTTTTGGCGATCTTGGCGCTCTATATGGCGTGGATCGCCGCCTAGTGGAATGGGGGTATAACACCCTTATCAAGCAAGTGGACCTTCACCGAAACGTAGCTCCTAATTGTAGGAAAGAAGTTGTTCATCCATGTATCTTATCCTTACTTTGTACTCCGGATCCAAGTATTAAATGCCTCTCAAAGAGTGAGTGAGTGAAAGGGTTGGGTTTCACGCCGCTTTTAACAGTATTCCAGTTATATCGCGGCGTGTCAGCTTAATGTGGGAGGAAAGCCCGAAGTGATGCAGGTCCCAGACGTTTACCACTTCAGGGAAACCCACGAGCACGGGTATGGTGCTGACAAACCTAGAAACATAATTGGGGCGAACCGGGATTCGAACCCACAATCATAAGTTTCTGGCGTGCCCAAGGGACGCAACTCTGCACAGCGAATCGCGGCGCCTTAGACGACTGAGCCACCCGTGCCCCCTTATGTGATTGAAGAATTTCTTGTTTGAGATATGAATAGTTGAGAAACGTATGCTAAAGTACTCATGGAAATGGTTTTGCTAGATTTAATAATCGACACAAAGTATAACGTAGATGTAAATACGAAATAACAAAACAACTGCAAAGTACTAGTCTGGATTTGCTAGTTTTATCTCAGTGCTCAATACAAAATGTACTTTACAGGAGGTAATTTGTAGGCACTTTCAACATTCAAGTCCAAATTGGCATGGCAGAAACAGGCTATAGGCATTATGCAAATTAGCCTGGAAAAAAAAGTCAAAACTACAAAAAAAATAACAGCTATGTTTATGTACATAATAATGATAATAACATGTAAGTTGTTGTTTGAGAAGGGAATATGTTACTTTTACGTTCTGATATTTTGACGATGATTCACTATCCCACAATGCCACTGACAAATCACTAACCACTGACAAATCACATACACGTGGGTTTCAAGCACCTGTTTTCACCTGTCGTCAAGGTGTCATAGGTCATGGTCATTCACCTTGATCTACTAACACCTGGTTATGCTCAGTTTCACAATAGTCTGTTTTGTTCAGATTTTTACACACTTTTACGTGTAAAAAGACATGAAAACCTTTGATACGCTGTATTTGTGCCAAGGCCCAATTAGTACTAATTGAGTTGTTTGAATATTTTTATATTTTGTATATTAACTGCATTTATTTAAAATCTGAGATCGAAAAAACAGGGTTTTTTTCATTTCCGTGAGTACTTTAGTGACTCGTCTTAGATAGCCACTGGGCGGGAGATGTTGGCGCGATCTAACACCCACGTACTCAAAGCGTGTAATCAGAGCCGTCTTCAATGCGGGTCGGGGAATTACAAAGATATTTCTGGGCACGGATAGTCTGTTATCATTCATTGCTCACAGTAACAAACACTGGGTTTCCTGGTCCCCGAACTTCATCTATTACATTATTCATGAATATGTTCGTTGTTAACGCCGTCGGCAGTATTGCAAGAAAAAGAAAAACGCGTTGTTTTTTATTTCATTTTGAAAAGACCTGTCAACAAAGAACATTAATATTACTTCCAACGCATCGCAGGTTTGTATTTAAAACTAGTGTAGACAAAAATAATACAATTAGACTACACGATATAAAATTATAGCCACAGATCGCCAGCAACCAAGGTCGGGCCATGTCACGAGGACCATGGGGATTTATAATACCTCTACAAGCTGCACGTTAACCCTGCAGGAATTACGCCACCTTTTAGTCGTTGACGATTGTTTGCATGCAAAGTGGACAGTTAATACTGAAACAATTTTAATGCCCTACGATTAAAATCTTGGCAGTTAATAAAGTACTTTGGAATAATGACGCTAATGCGAGGATACAGCTAACAACAATCTTAGTTCATAATTCAGCACTACCAATTGATAAAATATTTAACTTAAACGTTACATTTATCAGATTATCTAATATAGTTTAAACACCAATTATTTAACGGGAATGAACTGTAGAAAATAAAATTCTTCAACTGATGCTTCATTGAATATGTATCTTTTGCATTTAAAAACTCAACAGTCAAGCAAGACATGATTGACCTTGATTCTCGGAGGATGCATATCGGAGGATCCTCACCTTTCAGTAAATACTAATAAGCATATTATTACCAATGGCCAATACGACATCGTCGTAGAATGACTTATTCAATGTCCCACTTCTTTATTGTATCGCGTGTGAGATCTTATTACCGTATGGAATATGCAACAGCGTCATAGATTTGCAAGCGCTGCTTTTGATGCAGTATTAGCCACCAGTATTAGCCACCAGTATTAGCCACCAGTGATGCAGCATAGCTTGGTACCCACTAAGAGACGATGTCATATTGGCCAGTGGAAACATTATGAGCTTATGCGCGGTGTCGTCCTTAAAAGGGTTACATTTCAGACATTTTCTCCGACATGGGGTGCAGGTTGAGGTTTTAACACCAAAATCGGTTCCGTGTTTTGCAATATGTTAAATGTTGACCTTGCTTTGACCATGCTCTTACCGCATATTTGCTTCTGTAAACTTCCTTTCCTCTGAACATGCTGAAATAGCCAGAGCGAGGAAGCTAAACTTTAGTTTGTATGTATTTTCCTCTCGTGACATCACATTTTGTTCAAATCATTTGAATTTAGTGTTTGTTTTCAGTCTTCAGTAACTATGCAGAAAAATTTTTGAATACCAAAACCTTTTTTTACCAAAAACTGTTGACTACATATCTAGGAGAGCTACACAAGGTACGATTTAACACTTAGTTGTTCTGGATCAACTTCCCCTCCATCACACTTAGTTCCATCAGTTGATACAGCTTACAGATTTATGGTAATTGTAAACGGCAAGGTTTGCTTCCTGAGCATAATGTTACAGTTAAACGTATACACTGCTACTGTGTATAATAACGGACATTTTCAGATATCATATATAATACCTGATTCAGTCGGGTATTATACATTATGCAAAAAAATCAGGTATTACACAAAAACACAATGTTCAACACATCGTGTTTTTGTCACTGTATTTAGTCTTTATTTTCGGTTTAATACATGACATAGAAAAATGAAGAGCCGACGTAGGAACGTTAGATGCCTTGGTGAATAATGTATTATATATACAATTTTAACAGATGATGTCATTCTCATTATCCAGGTAATGGGCATGACACTATATTTGCTTCCGTCCTAGACTTCTACAGATACATTTATTAAATCTATATGTTTGCCTAAATTTGAATTGCGTTATGCAGATGTTTTTATGCAATTTGTTTTGCGATAGCAGATGTTCATTCTTAGAATGAAATAATGGAAATAATTACAGTAGTAGTAGTAGTAGTAGTAGTAGTAGTAGTAGTAGTAAATTGTTTATTGAAGTGTCACACGCACAACATGTACAATATGAAAATCATACACATAAGACAAAAAGTGTATGAAGTGCGTCCAGCCATTGGCTTATGAGATACATTTTACAATAAAACAAGGTATATAAAATATAACTCCAGTGAGAGGTGGGAAAGAAAGGGAAGATAACGAAAAACATGACAACTGTCGTCTCTTAAACATTTTAACAAGCGTTGAGGGAAGCATTGGTTTTTTTTGTAAAACGTTTGAATTCATAAAGTAAATAAATTTCCCCTCTTCGCATAAACCATTAAAATCGGGATTGTTTTCTTCAGCTTCGCAAAATAAATTATACCGTAAATCTTCATAAAAACTGCATTGTAGTAAAAAGGAACTGTCATCTTCAACAAAACCACAATCACAATATTTACACGACCCTTCCGACAGTGGTATAGATGGCTTGGAATATGTACCTATTTTAACAAGGTGAAATTCCGCATCTAAACGTGGCTAAAATACGGCGATGGTCTCTATAGATAACATTATTAACATAGAAATCAACAGATGTTCACTTATATTTTCTGAGAGTACGTAACTTATTGTACGTAACGAAGTGTGTCAATTAAACAGCAT